TTCTATTACATTGAGCACATTTATGTATGTGTAATTAAAAGGACAAAAACTGTACATAAAAGGCTTAAGTACCGGATAACGAATGGAAATAATCAAAAGACTAGAAACAAATTGTATTTTTGATGGGATCTTGTATAGATATGGCTGAAATTATTTTTGTACAGTATTCAGTAGGTAGTTGTAGGAATTTTAAGATGGAAGTCCGAAAAAATCTCACTTATATCTTTTAACGTATATTGTAGAATGTTAAAATAACAACGAAATATACAGGACGTTAGGGATAATAACCGCATAATTCTAACTAGTAATTAAACTAATAAAAAGTGTAATAATATACTAGTAGCAAAGTCTTAAGGTAAAGACAATAGCAGGGTATAAATTTTCATGCTTTTAACACTCTTTGGCAACAGTTTCATTATTGTTCTTCATGGGAGCACAATCACAAGTCAAATGTGGTGTACATTAGCGAAAAATTATATTACGATACCTATCATGCGATATATTCGCTTTTTATTGTAGATCGCATAATTTGTACCGTAATATTAGGGGTTTCGCGTGTGTTGAAATGCATAAATTCAAGCTGCATTTGACATTTACAAATTTTAACTTCATTCAAACGTTTTTAACACTTTCCTCACTCTATACTTCAAACTATGGTATCTTGTACCATTTGTCTTCGCTTATTTCGAAAAGTGACAGTTGGCAATTCAACATCCATGACAATTCTTCGTTCTGCGCATATTTTGCACTTCGAATTATGCAATGGTTAATCCTAACCTAATAAATTTCTAACGCACATGAATATTACTCATAATTTTATAAAAATGTATGAGTTTTCATAGATATTTTTCGATAAAGATGACTTAGATGAGATTTTTTGTCTGGGACTTGGTAAAGTTGGTTTTTTCTGACGGTTAATTTTTTCATCGAAACCAGTGGGAAAATATGCTCTCTTAATTTCAAAGCTATTTTTGTTTGTATAACCACATAAATAAAGCTTTTCAATGCAAACAAAAATACTTATTTTTTTTACTGTAAGTTGTAATGTACCTACTAATATTAACGTTTTTGAATTTATATGTTCAGTATAAATTAACAAATTTATTTTTTATGTATTGTTTAATTAATATAAACATAATATGTATGTAAAATGTATTGGTGTTTTTATTTATCTCCATCAAAATTTCTTTATTGTAATAGGGGAGCCCAAGCGGGGATTTCGGGATTTACTAAAGCGCGGCAGATTAATATACAAGGAGATACCTTGTACCCGGTTAAGTACCTTCAGCAAATATGAGCCCCATATATAAGGCCGCCCGTGAAGGATAAAGGATCAGATTAGTAAAAAAAATTGATCAACAGAAATTCTCGAGCGCGTCAGATTAAGGCAGGGTGAGTAATTACATGCTAAAAAGTGTATATTTCACTAATCTGACAATTTGAGAGTGACGTAAAGAAAAGGGAGGGCAGCAAAGTTGTAAAAAAACCATCATCTCGACATTCTCGAGCGTAGCTAATTTTTTTTTATTTTGAAGGAAATAATTCAAGGATAACGAAAAATATATAATCTGACGATTTCCGCAAGCCGAAATAACAAAAATTCGTCGATAAAGTTTAATACATGCAGCTGCGTGATGCCTATATGTTCCTCTCCGCGTTTCTATTCCTCTCTCTCTCTCAGTCCCGGTTTATCTGCTGGGCGCTCATTTGCCAATTTACGTAGACAGTTGGTGGCATAGGAAAACTTTTTTATTACTAATTTTAGGAAAAAAAGTTGTTCTTTATAAAATGTCGAGCATGGGGTAATCACGAATACCGACATTCGCATACGTGTTTTACAATGTGTCTCACTCTGTTGAACGAAAATCTATATTCGTGACTCGAGAATACTACCCCTGGTCTAAAACCTAAATTACAACCATCAAATATCAAATTTTATCAGTCGTATAAAGAATAAAGGTACTTTACTCTTGAGTAAAACTCATATTTTTTGACAAACCTCGTATACCACTGAAAAAATTTGATATTTGATGACTGTATTCTAGGTTTTAGATAATGCAGAACTTTTTATAAAGAATAACTTTTTTTTTTCCTAAAATGAATAATAAAAAAGTTTTCCATATGATTCCAAGTAAGGGGGACATACTGTATATCTTAATCTGACGTGCTTGAGTATTTCAAAAAGGCGAATTTTGTTTGCACATTATAATAATGGCCGCGAGTTTGCGTCATATCGAAATCGTCATATTATTGAATGAGAGCTTTTTTTTGGTTCACTTAACACCCCCTTAGAAAATCTGACGCGCTCGATTAATTTTTTTTTCATTTTCAACCCTTACGTACAACCACCCACATCATGCAAACGATCAGATTAACATACCTACATTATTAAAAATACGTAAAACATTGATGCTATCAATATCTGACGCGCTCGAGTATGTCCATGCAACAGTATTTTTTTACATATTTAAAAATCTATAGCCGCTTCCCCCACCGATGAATAGGTATATATTGTATGACATTTTTTTTCTTATCATCTAAGCTTTGCAACCCAATAGGTCTCTATGACGCTCGAGTAAATCCCCATTTAGCATCGTGGGCTCCCCTACTATTGTTAAAGAATTAATTATATTCTTATTAAGATAACATAATAATATAAGAAAATTAAAAGCAAAGGTTAAAAATTATTGATACACATTTTCATTTTTGATTTAATATAAATTTCAAAAATACTGCAAACACATTTAACAACCAAAAAAAAATCTAACCAATAAACATTTGCTGGGTTAAATCTTATGAGTAATCAGTGTAAATGTGTCATAGTGCATAATTTCGTATCATATGACGTTTCAGTTATGCCCGGTGTTCCTCAAGGTTCACATATTGGTCTCCCTAATTTTTCCTTATTCTTAATGATGTTTTCTTTTCGAGGACGATTTCAAGTTTTTTAATAGAAACACTGCGTCTAACCTAAATTGGTTTGTTACCTAGTGTAAAAATAACGCTTTTTCTATAAACGTTTCCAAGTGTACATCAGCCATGTATTTTACAAGATCCCCTAATCTTACTCTTAACTATTACAGTATTGACAACGTCTACCTAGATAACACTTTAACAGTTATTAATTTTGATACCATAATATATTTTAACAATCACCTATATTCCATAGTATGCAAAGCCCTCAGAATGCTTGGCTTCATCAAGATACTATAACCGCCAACCCCCATACCCCTTTGATTTTTTGTTTAAATCTGAAATTTTATTGTTTACCTCTTAATTTTTACTTTAAATTCTATACTTACTATATTTGGCATTTTTCCTCAAACGCGGACCACGTTCATTTGCTATCAAGGTATATTCTAATTATCTTGATTATTCTATCCTAGATATATATAGAATTGTAATTTATTAGGTATTTATTTCAACAAGTATAGAGGTGATGACCAATGGAGTTAACGAACAGCGCCAATTCGCCAGTTGGTTAATTTACTATGTTGATAGGTGCCCCAACTTCGCCAGTTGGATAGCTAACTATTACATTTTACCATTTAGGTTTGCTTAGATTTGTGTGCATAAATAATCCAAGACAATAGGTAGGTCCCTGTATATTTCTAAAATATTGATTTTTATGGGTTTGTTCTAACAGCTAATCTGATCATCAGAAGGACGTCAGACGCATTGAATACAGTCCATTCCTACAAAGTCACGGATAATCCGATGAACTGTCAGTAATACGTTCCAGCGTATTTTTTGATTCGTACACGAAGAGTCGGAGGATTGTCAAAACGATCAGAGCTTCATTGCTTGTACAATTTATCAGCATATGCGCATTTGAACGTCTCTTCTCGTTCGTGCTATTTTTGTTTGTTATTGTTGTAATTTTAAGTTAGCTTGGAGTGGCTTGTGTTTTTATATCTTTCAAATGAAATGAATAATTTTTGTTTTTATCTTGTGTACATTTTTATTTTTAATAAAAATAAACATCTTAAGGTTTCAAAATTATACATTCACATAAATCGTTGGAGACAGCTAAAAAAATGTATTATGTTGTATTTTAAATGTTTAAAATACCTATTCACCAAACATGTGTTTTGTTTGTCCAATTTCATTGCATTTTGCGTTCCAACAAGTACAAGTCGCTGATAAAACAACGGATAAATAAATGTACTGGCATGCACAGTGATTAGTTTACGAATGCATCCATGTACGAGTCAGAGACACATTAGAAAGGAGCTGTTGGAACAAACCTTACATTTTCTATTAAAATGATCCGAAAACATGTCTTAACCGTCTTTTAGAGTGAATGCCATCTTTTGTTACATAATATTTGAAGGAAATGTCAGCCCTTATTCAAACGAAACGGTGATATATCAAAGTAACTTACATCACGTTGTGGCGCCGTCAATTTTGGGTACGTCGCAGCGTTGCCTTGCGTCGAGACGCTTAGCATCGTGGCGGAAAGGAAGATATTTATTACGATACTGTGGCGGGACGGATATAAGGTAAGAAATACTTAGGTGGTGCTGCGCGACGAAGAGTGTTGTCACTGGTATTATAAACGAAATATTTAGGTAGGTTTACGGGTGTCAAGCGTCGGGAAGTAGGGCGGTGGGACGTAGAAAGGTAGGAAAGTAGGGCGCGAGACGTAGAGCGTCGGGACGTGAAAGCGTTAGGAGTGTCGATAGGATAGGAAAGACGTCGGTTTAGGAAAGATAGTGAACTTGAAATATAATTGAATTAGACTGGATTTAAAATAATGATTCTTGCGTTCCCGGGTTGGGATATTTATACCGGTTTTAATGACGTAAATTTGTCGTAATTCCGTTGGGAAAGAATTTGGGTGGATAAAAAAAGGGTGGTAGATTTATTACGTGTCTTGAGAAATTCTCGGAATTTTGTCTCGAAATCAGTGTTAATATTCTTAAGATAAGCGCGTTAACTGTCTATCAATTTAAGTAACCACGTTACAGATACTGACAGCAATATCTAGACAAATAAAATAATTATAAAATAAAACTTTATTGATAACAATAATTATTACATTAAAAGTTACGACCTTTTTTTCTTTTTCTTGAATCCCTCGAACTGCATGCTCAACAACGGATTGGTCTTTTTCATCTGAAACTTGGACGTAGCGCCGTCATTTCTGCGCCACTCCCTTTTTCGTTTCCTTGTCCTCGTAATATCTGCCAAACTTTTCAAAGTCTGCGGCACTATATATTCCGGAACGTCCTTCAGATGTTGTTGAATCCTCACTGTATGCAAAGCTTTATCGTGCCGCAGCACTTCCAGGTCCGTAGGGTTATCTTCGAAGTAGCTTTTCAATTTTTGACAATTCATTATTTCCAGTTTGATTTCTTTCAATCTCGCCTCTCTGACGGCGATTCTTGTAACTGCGCGCCAAGCGTCTTTGGCTCGGTACCGAAACGATTCCACCTCCTCTAATTTGAATTGATATGACTTGAAAACGGAAATATCTTCTTGACCTTGCTTCAGTTTCTCTTCAACTTTGTCTCTCAAAGAGACTTCTTTCATGCTGATAAACGAGAGGACGCTGCCTTGATTGTTTCCTCTGGCTGTCCTGCCGGCTCGGTGGATGTAAGCCTGGACGTCGAGAGGAAAATCGAAATTGATGATGTTCGCGACGTGCTGGAAATCTATTCCTCTGGATACACCGCTTTCCTTGTCTTTTCTTCTTTTGGTTTTTTTCGGTTTGTCTTTACCGCCTTCTCCTGATGGTTCTTCTAATGATTTTTCGTCGGAGGCTACTATTATGTCGTAAATACCTGAAAGTAAAACAATATTTCAAGTGAAGAAACTCCACATCAAGGGGGCCTATGCTTGAAAACGAGAGAGAAAATTCTCACTTTCTACTCTCACATAAAACTTGGTCAAGAGAACGCACTTAAATGTCAATCGATCTGAAAGTCTGTGACCTTGAAAATTCAAAATTTTTACGGTGGTAAAATGTATCTAATTTAATATAACCTAGCTTTTTGATAATTTCTCTTTTTGCAAAAATACTAATTAATTTTCTAGATGTCATTTTACTCAGGTAACAGCAACCAATGTTCTGATTGGTAACACCAGACTTGTCAAAAATACTCCAGACCAATAGGGAGGAGGTCGAGGTCAATATTATTTTAAAAACATAAATTTTGTAATGACCACACTAATTGTGTCTTCAAGTGGCTTAAAACCTGAATATTTTTTACTCTTAGATGTAATTTTTCTCATGTGTTAGCAACCAACGTGCTGATTGGTGACCCCAGACTTGTCAAAAATACCCCAGACCAATAGGGGAGAGGTACCGAGGTCATTGAGATTTGAGTCAGAATTTAACATGGGAAGTATATGGAGTGACAAGCCTGTGACTTGGTATTCTTGAAATCGAATTGTGTGCTATTAGTGTTTTTTTGGTATATTTACAATATTTTCTTTTAAAGTAGGGGCGCGATAATGCATTTATTCATGCTTTAATGGTATGATTCTGGGAAATATCCAATAAGCTACAGAATCTGTAATGTAATGTAGTTTTTTTACAGATTTTGACTTACAGATCTCTAATATTGTCTCAGAATCGACCCATAAGAGGTAAAAAATGTATACCTCACACAAATCAAAGTTAAAATATTTCAAATCTTAAGCATAGTTACATAAGACAGAAGAAAATATTAATAAATATAGAAGCCAAAATTACAATGGTTTATTTAAATCAGATTGAGAAATCTGAGTGTGATTATAATCAATAATGATCTTAAAGCATTTCAAGTCATCTGTGAACAATAGAGCTTAAGTGTCAGGAAAGCAAGTTGTGATATCATGTATAAACAGGTTGAATAGTAGTGGTCCTAAGTGAGATCCTTGAGGGACACAGGAGGTTAGTGGGAAAATTTGGGAATAATGATGATCATGAAGATCATGGTTTCAAAGACCTTTGAAAAGTCTGTATACACATAATCTACCAGTAGAGCCTTCTCCAAAGCTTCAGACAGAAAATTTGCATATATTAATAAGCTCAGTTCAGCAGATTTACCTGGCAACAACCAAATTGTTGGGATTTTAAGATATTGGAGCAGTCATATGTTATAAAATTAGTTATTATAATTTCGAAGATTTTTGGGATTGTGCTTAGGATGGAAATAGGGTGATCATTTTGTGCATCAGATTTGTTGCCCAATTTATAAATGGGAGTAATGTTAAAGAGTTTCCAAAAGTCAGAAAATTCACCTGTGCTCGGTGATTTGTTAAAGATAATACAAAATTAAATTTTTTGAGGAAAATGTATTGAATTCCATCAAGGGCCATCCTTTATTAATGATCAAGTGTTGACAACTTTTCATAAATTTTGGAAAGTTGGATAAGGTAAGGAGATATACACATATTACAGATTGGATTTCACTATCATTTAAATTTAAGTTTAAATCCAAGTTTAAATATCCTAAAATCGCTGTGAATAACACATGTAAATTGTGTAAATTTAATTAAATCTCATTATGTACTAAAAATTCTTAAATAAATAAGAAACAAATTTTGTTTCAAATATGCATGCAATATTCTAGAATTTTACACTCAAATGGACTTAAAATAACAATAAATACCTTGATTAAATTGATTAACAGCATGGCATCTAATTGTGGCAGGCAGCTCTGAATTCAAAACACAAGTTCTAATAGCAAACTGTTCCAAATACAGTTTGATCTTGTAACATTTATCCACAGAATTGACAAAAATTATAGTCTTTCCTCGTATCAAATGAAGTTTTAACAATGCATAGAGGATGGTAGCTTTATCCATTTCTTCTGCATTCAAATGGTAATGTGTCAACTGCGATGCAGGAGCAAGTTCAGGCTCTTCAAGTTTTAGAGTAACTGGATTGTGAAGGACCAAATTTTTTAAACTTTTTACATCTTCACTGAGAGTTGCCGACGCTAAGATAGCTTGATAAATTTTTGGTAAATAGGTAATCAGTTCTTTCATTTCACTTTCATAGCCAAATGAAAACACTAAATCAGCTTCATCAATAACTAGCAATTCTAAGGACTTCTTCAAATTTAAGTTACCAGATTTTAAATGCTGTAAAGTCCGGCCTGGTGTACCAACTACTATGTCAGGCTTTTCAACTAATAATGGTTTTTGAATACTTAAATCAACTTGTAATGATATATCTACATATCTTATTTCTCTGGAACACTTTATAGTTAAATCTTTAATGACACCACAAATTTGATTACACAATTCTTTACTTGGAGCCAATATCAAGGCTTTTATTTCCTGTTGTTCAGCAGCTTGTTTTATGTTTAAAATCTTTTGTATTACTGGTATTAGAAACGCTGCAGTTTTACCAGAGCCCGTTCGAGCTCGTACTAGTACATCTTTCCCTTCCAATAATAATGGAATGCATTTTTCTTGAATTACCGTGGGAGTTTGCCATCCTAATTTTGCTATAGCCTTTAAAATACGGTCGTCCAATTCCATTTCGTGGAAATTGCAAGGTTTACTTTCAACATCCTCAGACATGTTTGATAGTTTGTTTTTAATAAGGCTAAATTAATGTCTCAAAAAATTTTTCAAGTCAGTTCATTTTAAACTCATAAATCACTACAGAAATAATCGATGGTTTTCTAAATAATAATTAACTAACTTTCACTTTAAACTAATATGTAAAAATGTAATTCAAGTTTTTAAATTTTGCTTCATAACCCTATTTTTTACATTTCAGTACATCTGACCTACACGTGTTCGGTAATGTCAATGTCAAAATTAATTGCTATATTGCTAACTTCATTATATTAATTACATGTTCGCTTCATAAAATAAATACAACCTTATCAGTCTAATTATTTTAGGTTTATGATAAAACTTAAAAATTTCTTCTTTTTCTTTTATTGATTCAGTGGGAGTGGGGCAATTTATGTAGGATAGTGGTAGAATAATGGAATATATTCAAAAAGATGTAATCCTAAACTATATGCGTTGTCGACAGAGACTAAAAAACCTAAGAAAATAGGAAATAATTTACGCTGATTTTTGTAGAAACGCGTATATTATCGAAATTAAATTATTTACTTTTTTGGTACTTTTTTAATTCTTTTAGGACCGATTCCACCGTTGTGTTAAACGAAGTTTAAAGTGACATTTTTACATTAACAATGTCATTTTAATCTCTGTTTAACATAACGGTGGAATCAGCCCTAAATCAATGAATTTCACGAATGAGGAGAAATTTCAGATTGTTGTTTAGCACAGTAACGGTACTTATGTTATTCAAATTATAAAGTTATTTCGGAGAATGTTTCCGAATAGACCACCTTCAACACGATCGTATAATGCAAAATCTTGAACACGGGAGTTTTAACCAAAGAAATCTAAAATGCGGACCTGTGAGCGCGGCTCCTTTAAATCCAAAGGTATGTCAAATGAAAATATAAATATGTTTTTCATTTTTATGTTACGCCGCTGGTAAATATCAATGAAGTCTCGAATTATATAGACTGCTCACAGAACCAATAAAAAAGAAATATATGTTGTTAATGGGATTAAACTTTTTTAATCTCTTGGTATTAAAAGTGACACTTCAGTACCTAAAATCAAAAATTAAAAACTATAACTACTTTTAATTGGAACAGATCAGTTCAATGGGATTAACTCTGCGTGGCAAAGGAGGCAATCTGAGAATTTCAATTCGTATTCCTCACTCCATCTCGTTTATAATAAATTTTTTGAATTTGTTTTTATGTTGCCTTGCTATTACGAGTAATTCTGCCTCCAAGAATTTGGGGAGACATTAATATACGTACGATACGGCTATGAATAAATAAAGTCTGATTTATCTGGCAAAAGAAAAGGTTTATTACAGTAAAAACTTTTATTACTCCGATGAGATGTACTAAAATTTTAATTTTAACTACAAATAAGCTTTGAAGGATGAGGTATAAATAAAATGTCTACCCCTTGAACCTGTATACTACGTTCTGTAAACTAAATTACTGCATTACTTTTTCTTCTCTAGACTAATGCTGCGTTTGAGAATCCACATCGGATGCATTTTTTACATCTCGAGCGTTTTTTTATCCACATCGGACACATCTGTCCCATTACATTTACGTATACTGAACCACGTGATCAAAGATTTTTTACATCTCAGATGCATCCGATGTGGATTCTCAAACGCAGCATATATATAGTATCTATCCTACACTAGTTTTAATTAACATATGTAAACTAGTAAATATCTGTAAAATTACATTTACATGATTTGTTTGCAAATGGGTACTTAAAATTGAGACAAAATAAAACATTGCATTTATTAGATAAAGAAAAACCTTCTCTCAATGAAATTTTCGTTGACTGAATTACAGTCATTCATGTGATGAAATAGGGATGAGCAACCTATATGAACATATATCATTGGATGAAAAACGATTTCTACTTACGTCAATTAAGTAAAATAAAAAGAAGACTTTAGGCCTAGTCAGCATGGCGGCCAATTTTTGTTTTATGTTCAACTGATTGGCGGGAGAACCAGCATTTAAAAAAAAACATTAAATTAAATTAGTCCAGTGCTCCTACCTTCTTTGTTATAGTAACTTGTATTTATGTAAACTTTTTTCGAAAATGGTTCCGACTTTGAAGAAACTTTTTAAAACTGAAGCAACGTGTAAAAGACAAATTTATAAATATCTGATTATTGTAGTCGTTTACCCAGGTCCCAGGTATTATTTATTCATTGTTAGCTACATAAATATTTAGCAATAGATAGAAATATAATGTTTTCTAACAACCATTTGTCTCCGAACTATTAAATTGTGTGTTTAAAAAATGAATTTTCCTCCAGATAGCAGCAGGGTTTAAATTTAAGTTTATTTATGGGTCGAATAAGAGTGACGTAATGCTTTCTTTTTCATTCTAGGTCAGTAGGTGATGATTTTTTTTGCGATAGTTGTATATATATGTCAAAATAAAATCGTTTTAGATTGTAACCAAGCGACAAATGTGTAAATATTTAATAACAACAATTTAGTGTGACAAAATGGATGATTACGGCGATGATTTGAGTATATGTTCAGACATAGAAAATGAGGCGATTACTGACTCCTCTATGCTCTTGCCAGAAAAATCTAGAAAGAGATACGAAGCTACATACGAATCATTCAAAAAATATTGCCAATCAAGGAATTTGGGTACATCAGAACCTGAATTAATGACCTATTTTTTGGAAAGGGCCGAGATATTGAAGAGCCCATCTAGTTTATGGTGTGAATACTCGATGCTGAAAACGACACTTTTCATCAATGACAATATCGATATTTCTTTATATCCGGGACTGAAAGCCTTTTTAAAAAAGAAAAATGCCGGTTATAGGCCGAAAAAGTCTAAAATTTTTACGAGGGAGGAAATATATACATTCCTGACCCAAGCTCCTGATGAAATTTATCTAATGTTAAAGGTATTTAGTACTTGTATTTGTTTAAACAATGCCAAATGCTAGTTTGAATTTAAATTCCTTTTAAATGCGCATGTGCGCACTATTTCGATTCCGTTTACTCCGACAATTTGAATCGTTAGACAGTTGCCAAGTTTAATTTTAATAATTGATACCCGGGAAAAAGCAAATTGAAATAACTTTTATTTTTAATCGTTCATTTTTATAATTTTGATAATACGGATTAGCAAATTTTGAATATTACCAATAACACTATACAAGAGATTAGACTTACTTAAAAGATCATCCAAATCGCCATGAATTTATGATATATTAATTTTATGAACAATTTAATATAATTAGTTGTTTTTAAAAAGTGAATTAAATGGAATAGATGTATCAAATCGAAGTGAAAATTAAATCAGTTGGAATTTCTCAAGGAACATTACTGCATTTTTGTGCATATATATTTTTAGCCAAACAATTGTGTAACATCCGTGGGGTAAATTTGTGCGGAATTTCGTTTACACATAACCGGAATTCCCGGAATTATTTCAGGTATTAGTTGGAATTAAGACACATAACTGGTCTCATACTTATTTACATTTTTTTGTAGATATGTCTAGTTAAATAGTTGTGTAACACCCGAGGGTTGAATTTATATGGAATTCCATGTACACATCTGGCGGTAATTCCCAGAAATATTTCAGATATGAGTTGGAATTCCTTAAGGGACAATACTGGGTTTTTTACTTTACATTTTTTATAGATATATCTAGCTAAATCGCTGTGTAACATCCGAGGGGTAAATTTATACTGAATTTCGTGTACATATCGGAATTCCCTGAATTCTTTCAAACGTACCGAAATTTCCTCGTAAGTCTCGAAATTCTTTCGGAAATCCCGGAATTCTCTTAAAAATTAAAGAATATTATTCGAGAAAAGAGAACTTTGTAAATCAAACAACCTGCAAACTGTGGAACCCTATGTGAAAATAATCACTAAAAAATGTTAGGTATGCAGTATTTTTATACTACATGGAAATATATTGAAATTTGAATACAATGGTTGTTATAAAATACTTTGGGTAGTACGGAATTCCTACAGAAGTTCCAGAATGCCTTCGGAAGTTCCGAACTTGTTTCGGAAATCCCGGAATTCCTTTGGAAGTTCTTCAAAATTTCTAAAAAGTAAATTTGTGTGTACACAATTTCTTTAATAAATTTACCCCTCGGGAAAAACAAATGAAACCAGTTTTAATGGTAAACATATGTTATTAATTGAGGAATATTTCATTTTCCAAAAACTTTGCGTATTAGACTTTTGCCTACAAATGTAATATTTGATAAGTTACTGGGTAATACAACTTGAGAAACATTAGATAAAACCTTGGCTCTACTATTTTTTTCTAGTACACCATTAATCTAGAAGCTGCTAGTAAAAAAATATACGGTTTTAGTACTGAACCAATATATTTTATAGGTGGTTTTAATAATGGGCTTGGCGGGAGCTTGCAGAAGAGACGAACTCTGCAAAATGCGAATAGACGACGTAGAAGACAAAAACAGCGTAATTATAGTCAAAATCCCCGATGTCAAAAACAAAAACAGGAACCATCGCACGTTCGCCATCATCGACAACGAACGGGAAAACATTCACGCCATCGGCATGGTCAAGAGGTACATGAGACTGAGACCGAAGCACAGCGAAAGCAAACGCTTTTTCGTAAGATACCACATGGGAAAGTGCGTCAATCAAGTGGTTGGGATCAATACGTTCGCCAAAATACCCAGTCAGATTGCGAGATTTCTCAATCTGGAACATCCTAACGAATTCACGGGGCACAGCTTTCGAAGAACCTCTGCCGCTTTGCTGGCCAATACGGGAGTCGGTATTCTGGGCGGATGGAAGTTTTCCGATGTGATTGAAGGTAAAATGGCTGTTAGCAATAATCAACGGTTTAATTAATCAAATTTCTTTCGAAAAGCGTTTGTTGGACATCAAATTTCGAGATAATAACAAAATTATATAACGAGTTATCTAAGATATAGACTTCTTAGATTTTATTAATTATCAAGTCAAATAATTATTTAGTTACCAAATTA